TTTTTGAAATAGTTATTATTGAAGTCTATAGTATTTTATACAATTTTATATCTGAATTTATAATTGATATACTTTTGAATAAAAACTATTTTTTGTAGGAAGATAATCAGCAAGTGAAAAATGTAAAAAGGAATAAATCAAGTGGATGGTTTTTTTAATTTGATTTTTAGAAATTTTAAAAAACGACTAGATTGACTAGGTTTTGGCTTTAATCAATAACTGACAAATACTTTACTTGTTATGATAGTATTTCACTATAATGACTATTTATCTCTTGGAACGATTTTTTTAAATATTTTAATGATAATAATAATCACATTTATTATTAAAGGACACTCTTTATAAAATTACCTCTTTGGAGAAGACTTTCATTTTTATATCTAATAGATGCAAAAATAACATACAAATTATACTTTTGCAAAATCTTTTTCTTTATTCAAGTTGTTAAAAGACGTCTATACATTTCTTAATCTAATTTGCACCTAATTTCAAAGTTAATCACATCTTAATGATAACACAACAAAAAACCCTCCATCTTTTGAAAATGAAGGTTATATATCCCAATATGTATAAGATAACTTTTTTCATTAAATTGAAATAAAGTTGATGGATAAATTTTTTTGAAGTGTCCACATATTTTGGCTCCCCTTATCGCAAATAGATCTTTTCTGTTTTGCACGATATGTTATGAAATATGATTTTTATTGTCATTAAACTAATGGACAAATTAGTTTGAATTGTCCACACATTTTGGCTCCCATTATCGCAAATCGAGGTTTTATGCTCTAAACGATATGTTATGAGATATGATTCTTTTTTACTTTATTTTCATTAAATCAAATGTACAAATTATTTGAACTATCCACCCATTTTAATTCACATTATCGAAATAGACGTTTCTCAGTGTGAATTAATAAAAGAATATTTATTATAAAGTATGTTTTTTTCACTTTATTTTCATCAAATTAGTTGAATGAACATTTTTTTTACTGATTCAATCAATATATTTATGAAAATATTTTTCAATGTAAAATTCTAAGAGGGAAATAGTTTTTTTTCAACTACATAAATTTCACTAGTTTAGGTCTTAATTACTAAGATTCTCGATAGTTTCAAATATTACTTCCTCAATCATATTTCATGTTTCGACATGTATCTGCCGAATGGATAATTAATTCTAAATTTTTTAAATTAATCAAATTCCTTAATATAAGGCAAGAAAATCAAGAGTGTAATGATGTTTAATTAGTTTTATTTTATATATCTTGGTCTTGTGATTTGATAAATTTCATTTTATTACATTTAAAGTAATAAATTCATTAATTTAATATATTTATTATCAATATATGATTATGCAATAAACTAAACACTTAGATATATGAGTATCATACAAGCACATTCATTGTCATAGAAGTATCTAACGTTAATTTCTTGTATTCATTATATATGTCTACTATTAATTACATGTATCTTATTATATAATCTAATATTAATTTCATGTGTCTTATTATATATGTCTATTTATACTTGTCTTGTATTAATTTTGTTATATATATAATTATTTCAAAGTAGAGGTAAATGTAAACCATTAGACTTATTAAGAAAAAGAAAGCTTACGTAACTCCAATAAAATGATTTGGTTACTTTCGAATGTCACTATGCCAAAGTAACCTGGTTTTCAGAAACTCTTGGGCCACGGAAAAATCAAGAGACGTATAATTGATACAAGGCCTCATTAAAATTAGGGGAATTTTCAGAAATAGTTACTAAAATAATTTTAATTAGATTTCATAGTTATACTTTGCTAATTATGAGCGAGATTGAGAGAAGGAGGAGAGAGGTGAGTTGTATATGTATATCAATCAGATAAATGTATATGGGCAACTGATATACATACATATCTCTGGCGAGCGAGAGAAGGAAGTAGTGATTGCATTTGTATATCTATCATATAAATATTATAAGCATATATATAATTTGTATTTGTATATGTGTAAGCAAGAAGAGAGGCGATAGAGAGGAGAGAGGAGGTGAGAGGTGCATGTAATTACAACCAAAATTAAGCTGCGAGTGGTAATTAATTCAAACTTCAACTATGTTTGCTAATTAATTAGTATATGTTTGATTAACCGCATAATTTTTCCTAAAATTAATATGTTACGATTGATAGTTGACAAATACATAAAATTAAGGGAAAATAACATTTGTACCCAGAAGGGAAGCTATTTACAAGTGCATATCCCCCTTACTTTCATGTCCTTGTTTTTAACTACTAATTCACGTTTACTATTTAATACCATCAATATATATATCGTATCATAAAGGATGAAACACTGTTTTACAGAAAATATAACTATGTTACCTTGATACCGATAGAGTATATATTTGCTCCCATGGCATCAAGAGAAAAAACATTATTTGAATGTTCAATTATTGTTTGATATTATCAGAACATATAGATACTGCATTATATATATATTCGGGGCGGACTTTAACCGAACCCATCGTCGAAAAGTTGCACACACTCGTAAAAATATTCTGATTTATGAATAAATATATTAAAATGAACCCTTGAGAGGAAGAGAGAAGCTTAGCTCAGTTTTAAAACAGTTCAAGAAGTGCCTTTATGTTGTGGGTTCAAATCCCACATGCAGCAAGTCTTTTTTTTTTTAATTCTATGGAATTGGGCTCAATTTTTGGGCTTGGATCATCATCTCCTTTTGCATTACTTTTTTCTTTTGTCATTTTTTTTTGGAGAAATTTGCATAATTATGGTATATTATTTAAAATAATATTTATTATTCATGGCAAAAACATTCTTTTTTCACTTGATAACTTTTAATAGATTTATCATACAATTTAAAATACATATTACAAACAACAATTTATAAAGCTCATATAACACAAGTTTTACTGATGGTAATATCATAATAGATTTATCGCACGTTCTAATACACTTATAATACAATGTATCAATTTCTTACCAAACAAACATAATATATTTTTGAAAAAAAAACAGTTATAATACATATATATTGAATATATGATTATTTTGATTATATATTGCAGATTTGCCATAGTATCATTATGTATTGTTATACATGATAATAAATAAAAAGAGAAAATGATAAATATACCTCAAAATATTATATATAGTATGTTAATACTCTTCGCTGTGCTTTAAGATCGTATATACCTTTACAGTCATTCTTTTAAATTGTGTATATCCTTAAAGTTAACGAATAAACAAGTAACTTCATTTAAAAATAATTTACACAATTTTATTTATATTTTACCCAAGATTATTATATGTTATACTCGGTACCTTCAAGTAACAACAAAACTTGAACCCCAAACACCTGAGTTTGACTTCAGTAAGGAGTATCAACAGGAGATCCCTCTATGTATCAAATTCCATATACAAGGAATGCATGACATGCTAGAGTGATAATTCCCAAAGAAAAAATTGCACTCGTATGTTATCTCGAATTCAGAACTAATAAATTTAAAAAATATAAATATTTGAACAATATTATCGTTATAGACAAACTATTTTGTCATTTGATTTATTATTTTTAAAGATGTATCAAATCAAATATATACAAAATAATTAATTGTAATATTTGATGAGTGAATTTAGCTATATACTCCACCATGTCCAACAATAGCTGTGAACCTTTGTGTGATGTGACGAAATCATGAACACAAAATTAGATACAATTAAATTGTATTAAAACATTGAAAATGAAACAACGAATGCAAATTGCAGTTTGTAAAATCATAATAGTATAAACTCTTTCTATCTCTTATTACTTCTTAACTTTTACATTAACATATTAAACTCATCATTTTATTTTTACTTTTTACTAAATAAATAAATAATAATATAAAATTTCTCATAGCTAATATTTTTTTTATACCATGATTTTCGAGTATCGTTTCGCACACTCAATTAGCTCTATCTATTCAAGGTAGGTAGGTATACCACGATTAGTTCCACGGAAATATTGACTGCGAAAGACAAACGTTATTGGTGTTTTTAAATTGTGGGGAATGCCATGTCGAATCCGTACAAATATGACGTTTTCAAGGAAGTTTCTCTTTAGGAGAAATTTTAATTTTTCTCAAAGAAAAGCACATGTCTAATGAGACATACTAGGAAGCTTCTTTTCTCCTTGCTATATGGATTATTATTTTGGCGTGTCTTATCTATTATGAAAAACAAAAAGTGTCACAAATTAAATAAATATTTTTTCTGGTCATGACCATCTCATAGAAGAAAAAATAAATCAATATAAGTATATAACATTAAAAAAAAAATACCTACTATATAGGTTGATTTATATATTAGCAATAGTATTTAGTAACTGTGTAGTTTTCTATGCCCAAAAGTGTGTTGATTTTATACTATTGATTAACTCGATGGTTTAAGAAAATTATAAATATTTTTAAATTTCAACGCTGAAGGTACATAATTATTTGTTGGGCCAGCTGAGACAATTATGATCGTCACCAATGACTTTTAACTCAGCCATTGAACCCACCTACTTAACTTTTATCTCTTTGTGACATTTTCGCTTACGTAATTTTTAGCGTATTATATTATATTATTTTAAATAAAAATAATGTTTGAAATTATAGCACGTTGTTCATTATGATTAGCTTTAAATTGTTTATTTGTAAAAATGTATGATAAAAACTTAAAATAAAATTATTAAATAGTAATAAATAAATTAACGATATGAATATTACGGATAACGAATTTATAGACCATTTTATAGTAGTAGTTGTATTTTCATGAACTGTAAAAAGTGTAACAAAAAAAAAAGGAAGATGAAGATGAGGAGGAATGTGGTATTACTAGTCAAATTAGGCTGGTTTGACACGTAAGCACAAGTAACAAAACCGCCTTATCATTTTGTAGTCAATATTAGCAGTCAGTTTCCTACCGCCTTCATAATCATGATTATCTTTTTTTTTCTATAAATACTTTCGATTGCATTAATTAAATCGTCGCAAAAACTTTATACTAATATTAATTATTCTCAACCAATGGGTGAAAAAATCAAAGTTGAAGGAGCAGAGAAGAAGAACGAAAGTTCAATTGTTTTAAAACTGGATTTGCATTGTGAAGGTTGTGCACAAAAACTCAGACGATTCATTCGCCATACTCATGGTAAAACTAAACTAATTTCTATTTATCGATTTCCCCAATTTGTTTTTTTTTAATTTTTCTTATTCGGAATTCAGAATTTGGGGCTTAATGAATTTGTGTTTAATTAATTGTAATGAAGGTGTGGAAAAAGTGAAATCGGATTGTGAAACTGGAAAACTGACGGTTAAAGGTGACGTTGACCCTTCATGGCTCCGGGAGAGAGTGGAGATCAAAACCAAAAAGAAGGTGGAGCTTATATCATCGCCGCCCAAAAAGGACGCCGGAGATAAAAAGAGCGGCGGAGATAAAAAGTCCGGTGAAAAAACAGAGGACAAGAAGGAAGACGAGAAGAAACCCAAAGAGGTAAGTAGAAGTGTTAATTACATAATGAATGTTCTTTCTGTTGGTTAATTATGGACTCTATTAGTTGAATTAGCACTAATTTTTTTTTTGTGGTTATTTTTTAGGCTCAAGTAATCAGTGTGGTGGCATTAAAGATTCGGGTGCATTGTGATGGATGTGCACATAAAATCAAACGAGTTATTAAAAAGATTAAAGGTAACATACATACACTGAATCCCCTTAATTAATTACCTAATTTAGAATTCGTTATACCAACATTAATTATGAAAACTTAATATACTGATTAAACATGTTCATTTTCTTTGAACAGGGGTACAAGAAGTGAATATAGAATCAGAAAAAGATTTGGCCACGGTAAAGGGGTCAATGGATATAAAGAAGTTAACTCCTTATTTGATTGATAAATTGAAGCAAAATGTTGAAGTGGTTCCATCTAAGAAAGACAATGAAGGTGGTGAAAAGAAAGCCAAGGAAGGTGACAATGACAAGAAGGAGAAAGAGAGCGGCGGTGGCGGCAAAGGCGGTGACAAGAAAGAAAAAGGCGATACGGAGAAAAAAGACGGTGAATCAAAGGTGGCTAGTGGTGGTGGTGGAGGAGGAGGGAGTGAGGTGGTCAACAAAATGGAATACTATGGTTATAATGCAAATACATTTTACGCGATGCCTATGCAACATCAGAGTTATATGAATCAAGACTATGGCGCGACAATGTACAATCATGGTTATGCTCATACGGGCTACGTAGTCGAGTATGGCCACCAGCCTCAGTATGTGCCACCACCTCCTCCACCAACATACCTGAACGCGCCTCAAATGTTTAGTGATGAAAATCCTAATGGTTGTTTTATTATGTGAAAATGATCAACTTTCGTCCACCTTTTTGGAAGACTCAAACTCTAATTAGGAGTCTTGTCTATGAAATAGAGCGACCTCATTTTTATTTGATTGGTTCAGCTAAATTGTACAAAAATTTAATATGTAAAAGCTGAAAAATAGATACTATAGAGTGTCGTCTTAGGAAATTTTATTAGTTAATTAGAGCTAAACCACCATCGAGTGGTGGATTAATCAGTATTTATTTATCTATTTATTTATTTTAATTTGTATGCCATTTATATTCGTTGGTAGCTTTAAATGTAATTCAATTTTTGGCAATTTATATAATTTCGTTTAGTTGGTATAAAAGATTGTGAAACATTAGAAAGAGTGAATATTAGAAAGGCAAATATCTTTAGTATTCTACAATTGATGGATATTATTTTGAATATCTTACCTTCTAGTTGTAAAATGTATTTATTTGGCACCTTAAAATCAGTATTTTTATCGTTTAATTCGATTTTTGAAATTATTTCACATTATTGAGAAGATAACAATGATAAAATGTATGCTTATTTTATAGCAAGAGTAATTATGCTATCAATAAGTAATTTACCAGGAATGTACTGCTCTAATAAATATCATTATTGTACTAAGTGAAATATTACTATAAAGAAGTAAAATAAATACAATACGAAAATTAGATTCTAAAGAATATCATATTATTATAATGAAATATCATTATAAAAAATGATCATTATAAACATATTTAACTGTATTATTAAAATAGGCACATGTGATTAATATTATAATTTTTTTTCAAATATTTCAATTTTGTGAACTCGTTAGAGAATGACAAAAAGTCTTATATTGATAGTTAATAAGATGAGTGGACTTTTTATAAGATTTGAATAATTTTTCTCCTTTTAAATTAGCTTTTGATGTAAAAACTAATTTCACACGGTAATAAAATTACGAAAATATAACAACAATCAAATTTCAGAAAGGAAAACAACGGATGCAAATTACAATTTGTAAAATCATAGTATCTCTCACAGCTAATATTGATGGTGAAAGACAAATGTTATTGGTATTCCTAAATTGTGGGGAATGTTATGTAGGATCCATACAAATATGGCGTTTTCAAGGAAGTTTCTCTTTGGGAGAAATCTTATTTTTCTCAAAGAAAAGCACATGTTTAATGAGACACATTAGGAAGCTACTTTTCTCCTTGCTATATGGATTAATAATAGGGTGTTAAAAAGCATAGGCTAAAACCTCCGTTTTTATGTGATAACTTGTACATATTACATAGTTAATTCGTATTAAGTAAGTTTTGATATTACGAGCTTAATTCAAAATACAAATTTTTTATTTTTAATGGTAAGGTGTTTCAAACATGAAACTCTTACTGTAAAAATTTAAAACCTAAATCATTAAGACATTTCGAAGAATATAATTACCTTATATTTTTAAAAGAATGATTGTAAATAATTAAAAAGAAAAATCTTAATTTATATTGTTGAACACTTCTTCAAAAGAATTTATAAAAACTTAACAATTCACTTAATACATTCTCTTTCTGATCATGATTATTGACAAGAAAAAATTGTTATATGAGAGATATAAATAATTTTAAAAATAATTATATGAAGTATAAATTTTATTTATATAGGAAATAAATCACTTATAAGTGTTAAAAGTAATTATTTTTTGGGCAGCTAAAATGCATATCATGGCACAGTCGTTCTTAGGCATTGAACCCACCTACTTAACTTTAGCACCTGACGTATTTGCTGAGGCAAATTTTATCTATGATTAAATACTTATACACTCCTATTTTGTTTATACAATATTATACTATCAAATAATTGTACAAAGTAATAAAGTGACAAAGTCGAGTCGTGAATAAGCATTAAGCAAATTAAATTATTCCAATTAGCATCTAAATGAGGAATAAAAATAAAACTAAAATAAACTAACTAAAAGTTAATAAGCAAACAAATAATGAACTTTAACCAAGACATGAATTCACACCAAAAGTTAGATTGGAACATGAAGGACATTAGAAAATAAAACAAAGAATTTCTAATTTTCACATTATTGGTAGTTGAATTAAGACAAAAATAAAGGGAGAAGATAAGGATGGCCTCAAAATGGTACCGTTGGATATAATGAAGACTTCAGTATCGAAAAAATTTAAGTATCATGACACATTTAATTGGCTTAAGATAAATGTATATCAAATAAATCAAAGAGTAGTGTATAAAGTTAACGCATGTATTATTCTTCAACTCAATATAAATAATTTACTTTTTTTTATTTAATCTAAAAAAATTGATATATTTGACTTTAATATCTGTTTTAATTTTAGCAAATTCATATAACTATACAAATATTTTTAATTTATTTTACACTATAAATTCAAAAAATAATTCTAATCATATTATAAAAAAATAAAATAAATAATTTTTTCTAATACATCCTAGTAGTTTTGCTGAATTTGGACAAGTGGATATGAACCGGGTCTGAGATTAACATTGAATTTTGACCCGGCACCAAACATCTAGAAGGAAAAAAATGAGCCACCAAATATGACTCTTGTGGCCCATTCTACGTCATCTTGACATGACGCTTTGTTGGAGTTTGACTTTCTACATCCTTTTCGTTATATAAATTATTAATTTTAAACTTGATATATTAGTTTAGTTGGGATCATTATTTTCTTGATAAGTTTTAATCTTTGAACTTTGAGTATAAAAAAAAATATTGCTCCTATGCCACATTAAATTTGAGATGATTCAAAATTAATTTCGAAATTAATTATCTCTTTTATAGATTCGAAGGTTTCATGAAAGAAGTCCTTCATATGGGATAAACAGGGTGCGGATTGCCAGACCATTTTTATTTTTGACCAGTAGATATTCTCTCTATTCCTATTTATTTGTTCATATTTTCTCTTGTAGATGTTCCTATTTATTTGTTCATTTTGACAAATTAAGAAAGAATAACTTTTTTTCTATTACAACCTCACTTAAACTTCTTGAAAATTTCATAGTTTTATATGAGATAAAATGTGTGTCTTTTATAAAGTGGACAAATAAAAAGAGACAGAGACAGTACCTTAGGTTAGTAGGTCTTGACTATTTTTCCGTAGTTTATGAATTTTTGTTAGAAGACCAGACTTTTCACTTTCATATCCCAAATTTATACTCTCTGCATTTCAAAAAGGAAAATCTAGTTTGACTTGAAGTTTAAGAAAAGAAATAAGACTTTATAGTCTTGTGATTCTAAATTAAAGTTATGTCAAATGTATCAAAATACCTTTTAATCTAGTGATCTTAAATATGTTATGTAGAAAACTAAAGTTAATGTGTTGCCGAAAAACAAATAAACAAAAAAAGAAATAGAATCATTCTTTTTAAAACGGAGGAAGAATTTATGTACTCTTTATTATTTTTTGAAAGAAGAATAAATACAAATCATATGAGATTAGATGGTGGTATAGGTAAATAAAGAAAAAAAAAGGTAAACATCTATGATTAGGAGAGAAATCTAAAAAGTTCTATAAAAACTTATACTAATATTTATTCTTAAATACGTTGTTTATTTCTTTTGCAAAAGTCTTGAAAGGTTAAATATTAGGAATTGGGTTTGGACTACTTAGCTTCCCATACTAAATCATATATTGTTGACCCAAAGAGTGGCCCAAAATTATTTTGCTGGACCTTACCTCTTCCTCTATTCTAACTTTTGAGAGACAAAGCCCTAGTTTGTAAAATATTTTAGAAAAAACTATATAATTCGACATACTATATTATCAATATATAATTCTTAAGATTACTTTTTAAAAATATTACGTATCTTAGCATTAATTAAGTTTTTTCTATCATACACTGAGAAAGATGCATATACTTTTGCTATTAGATAAACTAAAATTGTGAGGGAAGCAAGTGAGATTTGTTATGTATCTAGTGAGCTTCATATGTTTCATGAGTAGATGGGGATCCACTATATAAGGTGGGGGTGCACATGCACCCGTTAACAAAGGAAAAAATCATGTGTATATATGTATATCTATGTTGACAGATTGACAGAAATTAGGATACCATCAACAGTTCATCCATGAGGAACATAAGAGTGATGTTGCGCTATTGGTACAAGCCAAAGAAACCACCCTTGAGACCTAGGTTTGAATCCAACTAGACGTCTATTTTCATTGTTTTTATTTTAAGTTATCTTAGAGTTCATATTTGTGCTAAGGTAATATTACTGCACCCGAAGTCTTCAAATCCTTTGACCTCATGTATCTCAAAATACATGTATCTAAACGTATCTAGACCCATCAAAATCCGATAAGATTTGTAATAGTACAAATTCAAGTGTATCAAAGTAATCAACTCTTAAACTAATAAAATTTATGTGGCAAAAAATTAAATTGAGCTGTACTTTCTATCATAAATGTCCACATATTGTAGAAATTACCCACGTCCAATTGCTATAGAAATCCCCATTGTTCTAATGTTGCCATTGTTATGGAACTGATGAAGTTGGTGTTTATATAGTTAAAATTTACAACCCAAAGAATTTCTCATTACAATACGATAGCTCTAGAATCTCATAATAATATAATTCCTTTCTTTAAGGGAACTACAAGATATATTAGGCATTTTATAATTGTGAAACAAAACAATTATTTTAATTATTACATATGCGGGTTACATTAAAAGAGACATGGAATTATAACATATCTATCTATGTTTTAGAAATGATTTAGGCCACTGAATTACTTCACACATGATTTATTAATGTTGAGCAACAATTTAATCATCAATCAATTTAACAATTGAGATGTGCTCCACTTTTTATCGACTCTAAATATAATGACAATAGATATTGTAACTAAAATGAAAATTTATTATATTACATATCTTTTTTGTTATAGTGATATGAACATTTAAACAAAGTTACTGAGTTGGTTGGATTCATACATTGATTTCTAAGCCCACTCTCAAAGTAAAAATTTTAAATATAAATTTAAATTAATCAAAATATAAAATAGAATTTTTAAGTACAAAACCACCTAAAATATTTCAAACTTCGAGATTTGACATTTCGACAAAGGTCCCTTTAACAATCTTTTATTGGGCCAAACATGTCGGATTTTTCTTTGTAGGGGAAGAGGAAGGTACCAATAATTAAGCAAATTGTAGCAATCATGCACGTTGTGCGTACCCTAATATTTCATTCTTTTTAATTTATTTATCGGATAGTGACATATTATTAAATTTATAAAAATATAAAAAAAGTAAATAATTTAGTCTTATGATATTAGTAAAGAAAATTAATATGTCTTTTTACTTA